TCGATTGATTGATTGGATTGGCGGATTGCCACCAATCAATCTTCGATTGATTGATCAGTCAATCAGGAGATCGATCGAACAATCGATCAATCAACCAGCAATCATCTGAGATTGACTGATTGATTGATTGATTGATTGATTGATTGATTGATTGATTAATTAAGTTGATTGATTAGTTGGCAATTTCTTATTTAATCTTGGAAATTTCCCGGAATTAATTATTTATTTATTTATTTTCCGAGAAATTATTTTTTTTTTCGAGAATTTTTTTTTTCGAGAAATTATTTTTGTTTCCTTTTCCGAGAAATTATTTTTTCCGAGAAAATTGTTTTCCGAGAATTTTTTTTCCCCGAGAATTTTTTTTTGCCGAAAATTCTTTTCCCGAGAAATTTTTCTTTGTTTAATTATTAAATATTGTGTGCATTTTGACAATTTCGCGATTATTTCGAAACTGTCCCTCTACACTTTCACTGCGTAGGTCTGCAAATTCCATTCTTTAAAAAAAAAAAAAAAACGGCATGTTTTTTCTTTTTGCAACCTACTCTTACTCTCAGTTTGTAAAGTTTCTTCTTTGATTATCTGCAGTTGAGCACCGAGGGTCCACATTGCTTTCTGCATCACCTTCGGTACCCCGTGGGATTGAACAGTCCATTTTTTTGTTTTTGATGTATGTTAATATTTTTAAATCAAAAAAATATATAATTTTTTCTTGATTAGGAACCTGTTCAATTTGGGATCTGTCCGATCCTTCCCACTTGCCTGCTGCCTACCTGTTCCTCCCCCTCCAGTCCGGGTACTACCGTTTGGCACACGGGTGCCTCTTCAGGGTTCGGGCACGATAGTGCATGCCACTGCTCACTCGATCACAGACCAAAGGTATGGACCAGAAGGCGGGAGAATCCCTCCTGGCCTATGAGGAACGCCTGGCTGCGTTCATCCAGGAGGCCAACGATAGGGCCGCCACCACAGCCAAGGAACGGAACCGGATTGAGAAAGAGGAGACCAAGCGACAGCAGGAGGAACAGGACTGACTTCGTCAAGAGGAGGCAGACCTGCAGGCTGCAGTTGAACACCGGTCCCGCCAACGCGAACGACTGTTCACGCGGGAGACCGCGATCAGTGATGAAACCGCACAATGGGTGGAGATGGCATCTGAGGACGAGGCCTCGGAGACTAGCAAAGGGCTGTCAGCCGTTGCGCAGATCTCCCACGACCTCGTGGCCACCTGCGCTCTGCAGCAGGAGGAAATTCTTCGCCTGCAGCAGACAGTGGACCAGATGCTTGTACGGCTGCAGGCGTTCGAGAAACAGCCAGTCGCCGCAGCAGCCGCAGGGCCTTCCAACCTTGCCACCCGTGTTCAAGTTTTGGAGGATGACGTCAACAACATTAAGCGTGTGCATCAGGACTTCCGGACGTCGCACCAAGCAACGAACTTGCAGTTGGAGACGCAGGTCCAGGCTGCTGCCACCGTGACGCCCGCGGCTGCATCCTCCCGACGCCCACCCAAACTGGATGACATTCCAGTTTTCTGCGATCAGTCCAAGACGGAACCGATCCCGTGGTGGCGCCAGTTTACTCTCAGGCTCGACATGCACCATGTCTCGAACAACGATTGACATCCGTGCTTGTACCACCGATCTGGTGGTGCATGTCAAGCATGGCTGGACAACATATTGACCAACCACGGCGTAGCAGTGTCGGAACTGCACACCAAGCTCACTTGGCAGGAGTTGACGGATGCCTGACACAAGCGATTCCAAGTGGAGCCGTCCGATCTGCAAGCGATGGAGAAGCTCAACAAGCTCCATCAGAACACAATGCTCAGTTAGGACTGGATTACTGAGTTCCAAAGACTCGCCTCCACACCCAACCTGCCGCTCGCATTCCTCGGCGTCAAGCACTTGTTTATCATGCGCTCGTGTCCAGCTCCGCAAAACGCGCTGACGCAGATTGCAGAGACACTCGACACGTCGGACAAGCTTTTTAGCACAGCGTCATTGATCATTCTCACGAATGTAGAAGCCCGCAACACCGGCCGATCCTCCGTGACGTCGAGCAACAACCAGCTCAAGCCAAAGGTGGCTTGCATTACGACGACTTCGCCAACTTCTTCTACCGAGGTTGCAACACCAATTGGCAGCTGCCCGGGATGGTGGCCGGCCGCGCAACAATCACGGCCGCGACAAGACGAAGACTCAGTCCACCTCTACACCGGGCACCTGATCAGCAGCCGACGAACCTTGGACACAATACGGACTCTCCGCGAATTGCTATCGCACGAGACTCAAGTACCGTTATTGTCTTTGGTGCAACAGCACCATCCACGATGCTGCACATTGCCCCACCAAGGGGAAACCCCGTTCGGGAAAGTAGGCGCCACCGAGGGTGACTCGACACCTCCCTCGACGCCATCGGAAGTGGTTGTGCGCACGACAGCCCTTTCTTCCGAGGCATATGCGGATGTCGGGAATCTTCCACTTTCGTTCGAAAACTTCGCTGCCCGGCTCGTTCCTTCACTRGATGCTTCTCAAGGACAAGATACATGTGCGGCTTTCTCACCGTCCGAAGGTTCTTCCGCCAGTTCGTCTTCATCAAGGGATTCGGCAAGCGTGTTCAACAAGGAGGCTTTGGACCCGCTCACACCCGAGGATTTCCCTTGGGTTCCTCTCCCTACGACGGGCAACCTTCCGGGGCCGCAAAGCGCAACACTATTCGCGCTCTTACATGAGTATCTTTCCTTCCATGCACCACCAACTTCGCCGACGGTAGATGAAGTCGCGGTGGGGGACGTGCTTGGCTATGTTGCCAAGGTGGCCCGCGAGTTTGTCTCGCAACGGTACGAAGAAAACAACGCACCGTTGCTCTACGTCCGCATTCAAAGGGCAAGCGGCCTGCAACGCTTTGCTAGATTGAGGCGCAACTCGCAACTTCATCAGCCAGTCCTTCATGTCTCGAGCTGGCCTTGGCGCACAAGTACGGAGGAAGTCACATCCGASGATGGTCGCTCTTGYCGACGGTAAGACRAAACARCTYTTAGAYYGTTACATCTCGSCTGTCSCGGTGTACTTTGCACCGCACGCATGTGAACCCGTCACTTTTGACGTGTTGGACACCGACTTYGATGTCATTTTGGGGATGCCTTGGCTTTCTAGCGCGGACCACACGGTCAATTTCCATCGACGCACGCTCACGATTCGTGATGCCACTGGCGCTGAGGTCTCGTGTACTGTTCCTCCTCCTCCCTCTTCCATTCGGTGCCAAGTCGTGAGTGCCAAATTTTTTCGAGACACATGTCGTTTCGAGCATGTCGAAGAGATTGGCATCGCTTTTCTTCGAACCATCCTGACGACCGACTCATCGTCTGCGAATTTGTCTTCTGACCCCCGTGTGACCCAGTTGTTAGATGAGTTCTCGGATGTTTTTGAGACACCCTCCGGTATAGTGCGGGACCGGCCGATCTCTCACGAGATCATACTCGAGGCCGGCGGCGTGCCACCGAAGAGATGCATTTATCGCATGCTCGAGGAGGAGTTCACGGTTCTCCGTGCGCAACTCGATGATCTTCTTGACAAGGGTTGGATCCGACCTAGCAGCTCACCTTACGGTGCGCCCATTCTCTTCGTTGGGAAGAAGAACAAGGACCTTCGACTTTGCATTGACTACCGACGCCTCAACGCGCAAACCATCAAGAACGCGGGGCCTCTACCTCGCATTGACGATTTGCTTGAACGTCTGGGCGACGCTAAGTATTTTTCGAAGTTCAAGTCGGGCTATCATCAGATTTCCATCCGCCCGCAAGATCAATACAAAACCGCATTTAAGACGCGAAATGGGCATTTTGAGTGGGTAGTTATGCCTTTTGGCCTCACCAATGCCCCGGCTACCTTTCAGGCGGCCATGACCACCGAGTTTCCCGCTATGTTAGACCGTTTTGTCTTGGTCTACTTAGACGACATCCTCGTCTATAGCCGGACTCTAGAGGAGCATCTCGAGCACCTTCGCCGTGTTCTAGAGACTCTTCGGTCAGCCCGGTACAAAGCTAACCGCGACAAATGTGAGTTTGTCCGGCAAGAGCTTGAATACTTGGGCCATCTTGTATCTCCGGAAGGCATTCGTCCGTTGGCGGACAAGATTCAAGCCATCCAGGAGTGGCCCGAGCCGAAGAATGTGACGGATGTTCGATCCTTCCTCGGCTTGGCCGGTTATTATCAGCGCTTCATCAAGGGTTACTCGAAGATCGCGGCCAACTTAAGCAAGTTACAAAGCGAGGAGCGGCCTTTTGACTTCGACGACGATGCGCGCCATTCTTTTGAAACACTCRAAGCGGCACTCTTATCCGCCGAGGTGTTACATATTTACGACCCGCTTCTAGCTACGCGCGTCACTACCGACGCGTCGGGCTATGGCATTGGGGCCGTCCTTGAGCAACACGATGGCACGGACTGGCACCCGGTCGAGTACTTTAGCAAGAAAGTGCCTCCCGTGCATTTGATCGACGACGCACGAAAGAAGGAGCTTCTTGCCTTCGTCCACGCCCTCAAGCGTTGGCAGCATTTCCTCCTTGGTCGGCAAGCATTCGGATGGGTAACGGATAACAATCTGTTGATATTCTACAAGTCACAAGACACGATTAATAGTACCATTGCCCGTTGGATGGCTTTCATCGACCAGTTTGACTTTTTACCTGATCACATTCCCGGAAAGTCAAACCGTTTTGCAGACGCCCTCTCACGGCGACCGGATCTTTGCACCACAGTCTACTCTACCTTCGAGATTGACGACGACTTGCGGGAGAGTTTCATCTGCGGCTATTAAGCCGACCCCCACTTTCGCGACAAGTACGCGAATTGCTCCTCTTCGAAACCGGTGCCTTCGCATTATCGAATCCAAGAGGGCTACTTGCTTGTGCATTCACGGGGTAAGGATCTTCTTTGTGTGCCAAGTGATTCACACTTGCGCACACGGCTTCTTGGCGAGTTTCACAATGCGCCCRCCTYCGGACATTTTGGTGTCAACYGTACACTTGGCCGACTTCGCCAGCGGTTCTATTGGCCCGACCTTCTCAAGGACGCCACCCGCTATTGTGAGTCGTGCGAAGTCTGTCGGCGTTGCAAATCATGCAACCATCGTCCGTTCGGTGAGCTACACCCACTACCAGTGCCCCTTGGGCGACGGGAAGCGATTGCTATGGATATCACCGGCCCCTTCCCGAAGCACAAGACTGGCGTTGATGGGATCCTCACGGTCGTCGACCGCCTCACCAAGTACGCCATGTTTTTGCCTTGCCGCTATCACGCAAAGGCACCGGAGTTAGCCAAGGTCTTATACACCGGTTGGATTCACTCCAAGGGCTACCCCAAGGAGATCGTTTGCGACCGGGACACTCGCTTTCTCTCCGACTTTTGGGTCGCCCTAGTCAAGCGATGGGGCTCATCTTTGAAGCCGAGTTCGGCTCGCCACCCGCAAACCGATGGTCAAACGGAAAGGGCGCATCAGACTGCTCAAGTCCTTCTACGCACTCTCATCCGTCCCGACCAGGTTGATTGGGTTGAGCGCTTGCCAGACGTCGAGTTGGCTTACAACTCATCGATCCATCCGGCTATCGGGATGTCGCCGTTCGAGTTTGAGCATGGTTCACCCATCTCATCGCCGCTGGACGCCATTTTGCCGCGCACAGCCGAGAGCGACGACCATCTTGCGTTCCTTCGCCGCATGCAAGAGCTCCTTGTCAAGGCACGGGATCAGATGTCAAAGACGCAAATACGGATGAGCTGTCAAGCCAGCCGCAATCGTCTCCCTTGCCCGTTCCGCGCCGGCGATCTGGTTTGGGTCTCCGCCGSGGAGTTCAGCCTTGAGCAAGACATCTCTCGCAAGCTCCTTCCCAAGTGGATGGGGCCTTGGCACATTCTCTCTGCAGTTGGTGATGATCTCGAGGGGCCTTCATTCCGCATCGCGGTGCCACCTCACTTGCCCATCCACAGGGTGTTCCATTATTCCAAACTCGCTCCTTTTGTTTCAGCGGAACCCGACGAGTTTCCCGATCGACGTACGCAAGACCCTCCGTCCATGGACGGATTTCAGGAGGCCGGCTACATCATCACCGACCGGCGCCATGGCAACAAAGAAACGGAGTTTCTACTTCACTTTTCCTACTGTAGTCACAAGGCTGACCGTTGGCTGACGCGTTCGGAACTGTAGGCTACAGCCCCCGCCGTTCTCTCACGTTATCTTAGCAAAGGGAAGACTATGCCGAGCACTCCAGCTCCTCGCCATCCTCGCTACATTCCGCCATCGGATCGGCAACTTCGCCCGCGCCCCGTCTCGTCTTCATAAGGAGGGGGGTGTGTTACATGCTGAGAGCCTACACACGGGCCCCTCACGGGACCCGAGGTTGGAATAGGGCCCCCAAGTCGCGTCACCGCAACCTGAAGGCCCTATGGCATTTTTACTTGGGCCTGCATCAGAAAAACACCAGCTTTAGGTTATTTTTATATTCTTTTATTTATTTATTGCTGCTGTTTTTCTAACGTGTGTGCTGTTGTCCGTTTTGTTGCCAGGTACACGTTTGAGGGCCAGGGCCAGATTCAGGCCCAGGGGCTGAGCCTCTAAAAACGTTTGGACCTTCTTTTTTTTTTTCGGACAGATTTTGGACCGTTCGGG